AGGAACACGGGGGACAACAAATCTCTATTCTTTAAGTCTCCATTCTGTAGCCTCTAGTTTACTTCTAGTCAATGTAATTCTTATCTCATAAAAAGGAGCTTTTGTAATTTAAAACATACTTACATTTTCAAAAGTTTGATATAGTTCTGTATTATAATTTTAACCTTGCAAAGACTTAAATTACTTTGATAGTACTGGGCAAAAATTTAAATAATGTACCTTCATACTTATTGACCTGGAAATGTGCTCTGGATACATTATTTGAAAAATGCAGTTTATCAAGTATCATTACAGTTTTTACTTGATTACATAATATATACAAATAGAGAAAAAGTGCCAAAAAAGTGACTGGTACCTATCCAAACAGTGCTAATGGTATGGATGGTGAAATAACATGTGATTTTCATTGTTTATCTATATTGTCTGAGACGTATATAAGTTTTCCACTTATAATTAGAAAATAATAAATTATTTTAAGCTAAGTATGCATAGGAAATGATATATAAGATATTTGTAAATTCAAGTGCCTATAGAAATTTGTAAACAATAAAATGCCAAAACTGTAGCTTGCTGGCAATACCTAACAGAAAGAGATTTACAAGATGAAAGAAACAGGAAGACAAACTGCAAGCAAAGATGTGAGGCAGAAATGATGTGCTGTTGACACAGAGAAAATTTGTGAGATATTGAAAAGGTGCTTATGTTTGCAAAATGGAACTAGATTATGGAGCACCTCCAATGTTAGGATAACTTTTCACCTCTTCCTATAGACATTGGAAAACTGTATTGATCTGGGGTAAATTACATAAATTCATGATAGTTAATTTAGGCATTTATCTGCTTACATAATTGTTGGGGGGGGATGGAGAAATAATGTATTTGGGGCTTTCAGGAATGATTCCCAAAGATACACTGCAGAACTGACCCACCAAGAGCCAGCTGCATGAAGCAAACTGAAAACTGGGAAGTTGGTCCTAATGCTGGAGTCTGCAGAACCATATTGACACGGCATAATCAGAAAGCCACCATAATTACAAAACTGCCATGTCAAGAAAGCCACCACAGATAAGAAGCCTCCTGAGCAAGAAGCCTTCTTACTGCTTCTGGCTTCAGAAGCACACTGTACTTCACACCGATCATTATCAGAAAACCACTGTTCCATGCCTTGACTACCAACACCCGTGAAACTAGTGATCAGACACTGGGACTTCTTATAACATTGCCACAGAAAAATCAGATGCCTACAGACCGTGATCGCCTATAGGAAAACCAAAGGCTGGGAAAGAATGAATTCTGTCTCTCCTCCGCCTTGCCAACATTGAATGCATGCCCTCTCTAACTGCAAAGAAGTCTGGAAAATGTAGTTTTTAGCTTTTCAGTCTTTGTGGTAAAGAATGACACACTAGAAGGGGTTGGAATGGAGGTAAGGCACCAACCTACAGTTAATAAGTTTAGCGAGTTAAACCACTCTGACAGCTACTAATGTCACTTTGCTTGCTAACAGTGATTCTTTACCTTTTTTTTTTTTCGGTCCCAAAAGACCTAGCAGAAACATTTTCTGAGTAATAATGACTCACTATGGCACAAAGTTTTCACATAATCATTAAAATTAAAGCTGTGTTTTCACTTATGGATTGTAAACATAAATGTATACAGTTCACATATCTTCAAAATTTACTGCAATGAATTGTGATGCAAATGACAATAAATCATCAATAAACATTAAGTAAAACAAAGGTCAGAAATTTAGAAGTACTGGAAAGGGATTGGAGGCTCCTATTCATGTTTACTGATTGAATCAAATGGATAGTAAAGTATTTTAGAGATCCTTAAATATTATTAAAAATGTGCATTCATTCACTTTAATTGTTTTATAACATAGATGGCTCAAAAGAGCACTGAGATTTTGATTTTATATGAGTTAATCCATTATACTTCACTCAAAGTTTTCAGTTATATTTTTCATATATCCTGATGTATAGCAAATTCCTGTGACACAGATGCTGATGATGGCTATAATAGTTGGATTTTGGTGTATTTTCAAGAATTTGATAATAACATGATTGTTATACATGGCAACAAAAGAATCATATGTCAACCAATGTTCACATATATCAGAAAAAAGAAACTCCTGTCACAGTGGAGGCTAAGAACTCTCCAAATTAGAATCATAAAACTTTTCAGCTGGAAGTTATTCATTTAATAAATGGTTACTGCAATCTACTTCTTATCAACCTTGACTTCAACACAACCCCTGTATTTGAAAAACTTCGTATCCTATTGATGCAGAGGCTATACCAATAACTAAAATACAATGGGGCAAACACTGTAATTAAAAATGCATAAAATGCTATGGGAATGCAGGGTGAGAGTGATAAACATTCCTCTTGGGAATGGGGAAGGCTTCAGGAAATCTTCATAGACAAGGATATATTCAATCTGGGTCTTCAAGGATAGGTAGGGAGTTGTATTAACAAGAAGAAGGAAGAGTACTGAAGCAAGGTGTACAGTGATTGGAAAGGTATGAGGTGATGGGAAAGACCATGAGGTATTAAGACAACTGGGAGTAACCAAATTTACTAGAAGAGAGAGTATTTTTAAGGAGTCTCGATTTAAAAGGGCCCTATTACAAATGACCTTGTGATGCTTGAGCACATTGTTAGTGCTCAATAAATATTTAGTGCTGATGAAAAAATAAAAGAATGAATCTGAAAGCACTGAGAATTCATTAAAATGTTTGAAACCGGGGAATAACTTGATTACATTGTAAATGATTCAGAGAGAAAAAGAGTGGAAAGTAAGAGGCTGCTTGGAAAGAAGCCTATTGCAGCTCTTCAGACAAGAAGTGACGAAGCTGTTGTCCCAGAGAAGTTAACTGGTTTGTTCAAGGTCTAGATCTGGTTACTAGCAAAATTGGCTTCCCTCCCTCTGCCCAAACACTTTTTCTGCTACATTTTCTTACCTATAAATTCATTATTCACCACCTAAAACTTGAGATCTCTATAAGAGGATTTCTATTGTAATGGTGCAGTGGTACAATGATGTTGGAAGTTGTGGACAGGTCTAACTGGATAATAATATCTTAGCAGGATTTTTGCCATTTTGTAGGTTTGGGGCTGGGGGAGACATAATTTGAACATTGGTATATTACGGATTAATTGACTTGCAAATTGACAAACCAAAGCAACTTACAGTGGCTGTTGAACTGGTTTTCCGTTAATTTGGTTTATTTATTTGTATTTTTATTTATTTTTTGGCCATGCCATGTGACTTACCGGATCCTAGTTCCCTGACCAGGGATTAAATGCGTGCCCTCAGCAGTGAAAGCATGATCTCAAAAAACGCTAAATTCCACACAGGCAGAGATCTGTTTGTTAAACTCACCACTGTATACCCAGCACCTATATAGGAAAAGATTTTTTTCTTGAATTGGCATTGAAAGTGAGCCAAGGAAAGTCAACCAACAACTACAACATAAAGAGAATAACTTGCAACTGAATAAGATGTAGTTGGATTTAACCTTGAAAGCAGTGGTCATAAAGCTTTAGTGTACCAGGAATCACTTGTATGTAGGAAATATAAGGCCACATCCCCAAACCTGGGCCTCTGAATCTGCATTTTAAGCAAGCTCCCTGGATGATTCTGATGTGGTGATTTAGAGCACAGGATTGGAATCAAATGCCTAGATTTGAACTCTAGCTGTTTTATTTGTTAGTGTGTAATTGTAGACAATTTACTTACCCTCTTTATTGCCTTGGTTTCTTCACCCATAAGTCTTTACTCAGATGTAACCCTCTTACTGAGGCCTACCTAGACCACTTTATTAAAATTGCAACTCTTTTCCCCTCCCCAAACCCTTAATGGCATTCCCAATCTCTATTAACTCTTCTCTACATTTTCTCATTTATTTCCATCTGACACTATAACATTTACTCACTATTATGTTTATTATTTATTGCCCCTTGCTAGACCCTAAACCCTATGAGAATAAGTATTTTTGTTTTATTCTCTGATGTAAACCAGTACATAGAATAGTGCCCAGAACTTAAAGACACTCAGTGAGTATCTGCTAAGCGAATAAATCTATAAAATGAAATTTTAAAAAGAGTACTTTTTGCAAAATTGTCATGATTAAATCAGCTAATATATGTGAAGCTCTTAGAACAGTAACACTTGTAAGCACTTAATAAATGTTGGCTGTATTAGTAATATTTAGAGCTAAGAATTGGAAGTTTTTAAGGTAACTTACTAACTACTAAGGTAATGGGAAGTAACTACATTGGTCCTACCTGGTTGCCTCAAACTTAAAGCCAGTTAGTGTTAAATACCAATGGTGGGGGGCTTCCCTGGTGGCGCAGTGGTTGAGAGTCCGCCTGCCGATGCAGGACGGGTTCGTGCCCTGGTCTGGGAGGATCCTACATGCTGCGGAGCGGCTGGGCCCGTGAGCCATGCCTGCTCGTCCGGAGCCTGTGCTCCGCAACGGGAGAGGCCACAACGGTGAGAGGTCCGCATACCGCAAAAAAAAAAGAAAAAGAAAAAGAAAAAAAATACCAATGGGGCGAGCAACCATGAATTGACATACTAAAGAAATAAGTGTGCTAACATTTAAATTTTTTCGAGCTAATATGTAAAATTTTACTTGTTTAATAAGCAAACAGATTAAAGCTATGTACTTCCTACAAAAGAAAATATTATTGAAATATTTCATAACAAATACACATTAATAATTCTAAGCACAAAGAAAAATGAATTATTTCTTCCTTTTAACTGATTGTAAGTGGTTTAAAAATACAATTGACTTTTTAAAACAATGTGCTTCAATAGAAGAATATGCATTTTGTCAATCTTGCCGGGTTTTGATGGCTTACACTATTTCGAGACTTATAAAACAATCATATGAAATTCTAAAGTTACTTGAAGTTAATAAAAGTATTAATGTTCATAGTCATTCATGTCTTTTCTTTTTTTTTGTCTTTATCTGTTTTTGTCTACATCTTTAGACAGAGAGCACAGAAAGTGGGGAAGAATGGAGAGGCTTCATTCTCACAATAACAGAGGTAGGAAGGACATTATTTTTTGTTTTTTTTGTTTTTGTTAACTACCATTATTTTAATAACTACCATTATTTTAAATAAAACTACTGTAGCAACTGTCTAATAAACATGAAGTACTTTGATAACTAACCAGCTCCCTAAGGAGCACCATGTTTTCTAATACTCTTAGAGGACACGAAAACTTCCAATGTTTGTTAGGGTCAGTTAAATACAGACTTTATCCAAAGCTAGTTTCTAAGTAAAGGCCTTGCATTCACATGAAATAAGGACTGCACTTTACCAAGATGATGGATGCTGGTTCTTTCTCTCAGCCAAAAACAAGTAAAAGTTTGAGGGTCAACTACCATGTAGGAAAGTCATAGGAAGGTAGAAGAGTGGGCCCGTTAGATATGTGAAAGGCATATTGGCTTAAGGGGAGGGAGAAACACATTCCCTCCCTCTGTTGTGGAAAGGCATCATCGTGTGTTTGGCCTGGCACTTCTTACACTGGGATACAGACATACCAAGTGTATGTGATTAGGTGTCAAGGAATACACTAAAAGCACCGGAAAAAACTTGGGGTGCATCTTCCTAGAACACTAATTATACTTGACATTTTGGCCAAAAAGATTTGTTCTTAGTTTTTTCCTTGAGGTAAGGATAAAATGCATTATTTTTAAAATTATAATGTACATAGATATGGTACAGAATTAAAATAAAATTCATGTGAATTATCAAAAGATAACAATTTGCCTCTAATGTTGTGCTCTATAAATATTGTCTTTTACTATGTTCCCAGATCACTCTGTATATAAATTTATACCATGCTGTTGTTAGGGCAACTTTAGTAGAAGTTTGAGAAACACAGACTATAGTTCAAAGTGCAGAGACATTGCTTTTGAATTAATTAAACTGGAGTTTGAGTCCTGGTTCCACAACTTTCTAGCTATGTGACTCTGGACTAGTTATTTAATCTTTCTGAGCCTGTTTTTTAAATTTGTAAAGTAGGGATAACAATACCTATCTTGTAGCATTGCTGTGAGGATTTGCAATAGCATAATGCTTGGGACATAATAGGTAACTAATAAGGAACAGCTGCTTCATTAGTTTTTCCTCATTCTATTATTTTTTTCAGGATTGGTATATAAGGGAAATAGACTTACTGATTATTAGTTATGCAGAAGGATAGTCTCAAATTTCATATATATACACACATGTGATAAAATATAAACAATAATAGGAATTAATAAAATAATGTGTAAATAGAAAATGAAGTTCTAGTGTTTTCTTCCCAGACTCCAAAGGACTTTCTTATACACCCCCTGGAAAGCATGCACCCCACTCTGGAGATCAAGATGATATTCAGACACAGCTGCCTCAAAATATAGGCTAGGTTGTGTCACATGAAGAAAAATATTCTACCATTTAGATTATAACTTCTAAGAGTACATAGCTGGTCATAATGAAGTCTAAATTAGGGGTATGAATATAGATCAGGAGAATATAGGTGACTTAATCCAAACACATTTCTAGAAAAGATATTTTAAAAATTTAATAGAGCAGTATCATAATCCTAATGTCTGAGTGAAAATTCAAAATACAAACACAAACACACGAAAATATAGACCTCTCATTGCTGATTCTCAGTCATTTAAAGAACAGTTCCATCTTGACCCCATGTTGCCATATGGTTGGTGGAGCTTATTCCAGGTTATCTGTGGGACAGCTGAGCAACTTGCAGGCGCTCCAGGACTTCCCTGGCAGTGAGATCCAGCGAGCTCAGAATAAAAAATGAGAGGTTTGATGTTACTTGAATCAGCTTGTGGTGCCAGGTGAGTATACTTAGCTTTGGACCAGATCAAAAGGAAAGTTTCTTTCTAGTCAGGCGCCCTGTGCAGGTTCTAGCTGGTTTAGAGGCAGTTCTAAAACACCAAGATCCTCTATTCATGATACTATCCATCCATCTCTGTCAGGTAACAGAAGCTCCTTAGGACCAGAACAGGCTCATCTTTGCTAAAACCAGTTACTCTGATGTCTTTCTTGTTTGCCTACGGCTTTAATTGGTTTCAGCTGTCAGTTCCCCTACATGTGTCACTCCTTCCTGGGCAAGTAATTAGACTGCATGAAGCCTTAGAGAAAAGAAAAGGAGAATTGAGACAGAGTGGACACTGAGTTCATTTCTGGAAAAAGGGAAGGAACCAAATGAAGATTATGTGGATGTACTGAACCCTATGCCAGCGTAAGTGCACCATGAACTTCAGTTTACTTATTAGATTGTTAAAATTAATTTCTAATTATCAAGGAGAGTTAGTCACTGGACTTGTTAAACCAGGGACAATAAGCTGTCTTGTGGATATACAGTATATCTATGAGTACATGTCACATTTCCTCTATGTCATATCACAAAATGCAAAATGCAGATTTGAACCAAGCCTCTTACCACACAGGAAATCTCCCTCCACCCACACCTTTAGACTAAATAGATTTTTTTCCAAAGAACAAACCTAAATAAAACTGCTATGTAGAAGGAAGGAAAGAGGCTTTTTCACCATGCAACTCTATGATTGACTGAGTTTCTACCAGGAAATTATACCAAAGATTTAAAATACCTGAATGCTTTATTCAATTGATCAATCAGTGATTAGTCTTGGGCTCGTACTTTGAGGAAGACATGTGTAAAGTGGTAAGGTGTTGTTGGAAATGAAGATGCACAGAACATCCTGAAGTCAGCAACAGCCTACATTTGTTTTTTAACTCTTATATTGTTGAAAACTGTGACTAAGACTGTGAACCCTGGAATCTTCATCTTCTTGTCAATGAAACTTGTCCCGGTACCATCTTTGACATCAGGTTCTGATGTGTATTCTTTCTGTACTATAATCAATGAAACCTGCTAGCCATCACTCAGCTGAAACCAGGGACAACTGATGGACTGATAGGTTAAAAGGCACCTAGACTGCTTTTTCTTTTTCTTTTTTTTCTCAATAAAAAAGTAATGCATATTTATTAGATAAATGAAAGAAAATTAAAATTATTCCTTGTCCCACCACTCAGAGATATTATCTTTCAGCATCTTGGTGTACTGTATATACTGCCAAATTTTTTTCTGCTGAAAAAATAGACTTTTCATTGACTATAATATTTACTATAAAATAAGAAGTGCAGGGGTTTCGCTGGTGGCGCAGTGGTTGGGAGTCCGCCTGCTGATGCAGGGGACACGGGATCGTGCCCCGGTTCGGGAAGATCCCACATGCCGCGGAACGGCTGGGCCGGTGAGCCATGGCCACTGAGCCTGCGCGTCTGGAGCCTGTGCTCCGCAACGGGAGAGGCCACAACAGTGAGAGGCCCGTGTACCACAAAAAAAAAAAAAAAAAAAATCATGTATATGATAATAAGGTCTATGGAAGTAATAAAGCAGGATGAGGGAGATGGGAACTCTCAGAGGTGATAATAGAGAGAAATTTTTTCTGGTTGCTCTTGTTGTTTATTTAATATAGAGTGGTCAAGGAAATCCTCCTTTGTTAACTGACATTTAGGCAGAGACCTGAAGGAAGTGAGGGAACAAACCATACCAATATGTAGGACAAGAGCATTCCAGGCAGCCAGTGCATAAGGCTAGAGGTAGGAGAAGGCTTGGGTTGTTCACAAACAAGAGGCCAGGGACTTCCCTTGTGGCACAGTGGTTAAGAACCCGCCTGCCAAGGCAGGGGACACGGGTTTGAGCCCTGGTCCCGGAGGATCCCACATGCCGCGGAGCAGCTAGGCCCGTGTGCTACAACTACTGAGACTGTGCTCTGAGAAGCCCACACTCCGCAACGAAGAGTAGCAACCGCTCTCCGCAACTAGAGAATGCCCACACGCAGCAATGAAGACCCAACACAGCCAATAAATAAATATTTTTTTAAAAATAAGAAAAAAAACACTTAGAGTTTAAAAAAAACCAACAACAACACAAGAGGCCACTGGGACTACAGTGGAGTGAGCAAGGAGAAAGGGTTAGGAGATGAGATTCCAGAGGTGGGGGTAGGGCTGACAGCTCTAAGCCCTACAGGTTATTGTAGGGAAAAGGGTTATACTGTGAATAATAATGAGAGGCCATTGGCCTCTGATGAATAAAGAAGTGACATAATCTGACTTTTCTATAAAAAGAATCACTTAGGAGCCTCTTGTTAAGGTTGATAATTTCTTTCTAGTGAAATGGTTTACCTTTGATAAAGTCAGTAACATTTACATGCAAAAGTTGATTTTTCTGTGTAGCGATGGTGATTGTATCTTTTAAAGTCTACTCCTTCCCTCAGAGTCTATAAAAACTTGCATTTCAATAGGGACTCTGGCTTAGTTAACATTTTTACAACTGATAATATAATTGAAATATAGTGATTTTTGTCCTAAATGAAAATATTCAGTACATGATTATCTTTCATATAAGAGCTTAAACAGAACTTTGATTCTTGAATTTGCCATTCTTTCTGTGGATAATATTCTATTTTTTTTTTTTTAGCTATAACACATCTATCTAGGAATCTAGCTACTGATCCATATATAAATATCAATAATTCTAAATAGATTAAATATGAAGACGCTGGCAAGTGAATAAAGGCAGTAAAAAGAAAATAGTCACTTATAGGACAAAATTAAAATTATGGCATGTGGCTGCAATGCTAGTATGAGCTACAACCCAAGAAGCTTCATTCACTTGCCAATTACTTCATATATACAGAGACTTTTCTTTATACACTAGCCATGTGGCAAGAATGTTAGATGGTAAATCAGATCCTGAGTCTGTGTGAAGTAAGAGAATCTGTGTGTGTGTTTGTGTGTGTGTATGTGTGTGTATTTTTCCACAATGAATATCTATGTCAGCTTAATCATATTGTGGTTTCATTTTTTTTCTGTTTATTATAGGCTAACATTTGGAATTAAGGGTTTTTCAACTAATATGATAGAATACCATGGATTATTCATGATAATTTACTTGATTTATAATTTAATTGGCTACCTTGAAACGAATCCAAAATAAATAAAAGTTATGACTGGCATTAAATATCAGTGAGCTTATAAGAACTCCTGGGAGAAAAGTGAAATTTTCTATTTAGTATATCCTGGTAAAGGAGTCTGTCCTTTTTTGGGTTTAGGAAATTGAATATCACATAAAATACAGAATGTCTTTTAACTGTTTACTTCCACTTTAAAAAATAAGAGGTTACAAAACTGAATTCACATTTATTCCACATACCATCCCATTTTACAATTCGAAAATGAAGCCTGTGGAGGGCAGCAGCCTGCCCAAAGTCATACAGCTGAACCCAGGTCCATGGCGAGGTGGCTCCCGGGCCCGCCTCTTACCTGCGGAGCATCTGATCAGGGCAGCGACTGGATGGAGCCGGTCTCAGCTAGGAGCTGGCTCGAGGGCGGCGGTAGGGGTTGGGGTGGGAGGCAGGTACCCTGAGCCTCTGGCCCTTCTCCACCAGCAGTCCACGAACTTGGCATAGAGCCTAGAGGAATTGTTAGCGTCAGATCTGAAGCTGAGACTGCCGTGTTTCAAATCCTCCCTGAGACAAGCCAAACACTCCATATCTGGCCGCCTCCCGCCATACGCATTCCCCACCCCCAACCACTGTCCTGGGAAGGTACACACTTTGGGTTACTTTCTCCTTTTTCTACATATGTTTGTCCCACGGTTATTGTATAGCATTGTTTTATGTTTTTAAGTTTTATGGAAGTGATATATTGTACTCACCAACCCACAACTTCATGTTTACCCTGAGGACATGCTTTTGGATTAGTCCATATTGTTACCTGGAGATCTTGTCCTCTTGTGTGTCAATATTTAACTCTTCTTTAATGCCCTTCAATAACGTTTTACATATTTTTTAATAAAGTACTGCATATCTTTTGGGTTTTATTCTGAGCCACCTTAAGGTTTTGTAAATGAAATTTAAAAAGATTTTAATAATTCTTAATTAGCAAAAAAAATTATCTCACAAAATTTTTTTTTAAAGATCTTTATTGGAGTATAATTGCTTTACAATGGTGTGTTATCAGCTATACATATACATATATCCCCATATTTCCTCCCTCTTGCGTCTCCCACCCTCCCTATCCCACCCCTCTAGGTGGTCACAAAGCACGGAGCTGATCTCCCTGTGCTATGCAGCTCTCACAGATTTTTTAAAAAAGAAATTTAATCTAACTGATTGAAAGTTAAATTAGATCACAAAAGGAAGTGACTTTTTTCTTTCATACTTTTCTTGGTTGGATTGAGTGTTTGATCCATTTGTATGTGAACCCTGTGCTACTGTTCTGCATGAAATAAACAAAGTCCTGAGATCTAATGGCTCTTTAAAGACTGTATATTTCCTGCACAATAGCAGCAAGATCTCTTTTAAGGTGGTCTAAATTAGTCCAACTTTTGATTTGCATTTTCCGCACGAGTGAGCTATGAGAAATAACAGCGTTTTCTGTTGTAAATATGGGTTGTGACCAAATGCAATGAGTTTCTATACTTAGGATATAGATCTAATGTCACAGTGTTTATTCGTATTGTATTTAAGTTATATTTAACCTCATTAGAGTCTGGCAAAGGAGTTCATATCAAAATTACATGTCTATTTTTAGTAAACATACTTCCAGTTTAAATTCACATAGAAATTCATGCTTGTACAGCTAATAGTCATAAAAGTTTATGACATTTCATAAAACTGATCATCCCTCCACTCTCAAGAAACATTTATATTTAGAAAGCAAGAAGTGAGGTAGAGTGGTCAAACTAGAGCATTCTAACACTGGAGTCAGTACGTGCTTATTTAGGCTTTGGGGAATAGTTTATATCTGAAAGTGGCTAGGAAAAACTTTAACTGTTTTTGCACAAATATTCCTTATGAGCCAGATATATCTATGATGTTAAGGATTATCATTATGTGTTCTCTAATGCCTTAAAATAGGTCTTTTGAAATGCCTGGATTTAATATATTCTGTTTAACAGGTCACAATTTTAAAGAATAGCAATTGTAGAGAGTAGTAGAAGTTTAGCTGGTTAGACTGTATTGCAGTAGTCTGTAAAGACTTTGGCAGAAATCTAGACTATTAGGAAGCACCTGTGTTACCCACAAAACCAATTCACTCTCTTACAGGTTGTAGGAGAAATGTTCAGCCATGCAAGTTTAGACCAGTGTGCCTGGTAAAACACTAGCTAAAAAGGACAAGTTGGTTTACAAAGCAGTACTTGAAATTAAAATTATCTCCATCTGTTAACAAATCAACTGTGGGAGAAAAGATTTTAGTTTTCAGGAAGAAGCAAAAGTCCTTCAATGGCAAATTATCAGGTGACTCCTCTCTTGATGCAAAATATCATCCACTTTTACCCAGTCCAGTGGTGTGTGAATTCATAAGACATAAAGCTATTCTTACAACAAACTTCATAATTTGGTTTTGTTTTCTTAAAATTGTTATGAGTACGTGGCAAGCTAGAAGTATAAACACTTTGGAAAGCCATTAGCCAAGAAAGCGATAGAAAATATTTACCCAAAATTCATTCCTCTGCAAAAATTGGGGTCAGGAGTTAAGAACAGTATTTATAACCATATTTAAGGCCACATATATTTTTTTAAAGACAGGTTACTTCCTTTTTGAGGTTGTAATAGGAAACCTCAATATAGCAAATTTTATCAATCTAGTTTTTTCCCCCTCTTTATTCCTTTGGAAAAAAAATATGAAAGAAAAACACAGGTCTGAAATGAGAGTCAAAACCTAAGTGACTTCAATGGAATTTTTTTTCTACCTTATTTTCTGCCTTAGCACTTAGTCCTATTAGTCAAAAGTTCCAAGAGACTCTGTTAACTATTGCTGCTTTTCCTCCCACAGTTTTGCCATGGATGATGATGATGATATGATGGCTATTATTAACAATCACTGTCCCCACTTACGGGGTACATCTGTGGGTGCTCTGTTATGTGCTTGACAAACATTTCCTTCAGGCACAATAAAAACTGAGACAGACAGTATTTTCCATGTTTTACAAGTGAATTAACTGAGAATTACAGAAACTACTAAGTTAAAAAAATGCATTTAAAAAGTAGTAAAAAATAGTTATAATTTACTGTCTACATGTGACAGACATTGTACAATAGTAAGGATTTTTCACACATTTATTCACAACAGCACTGTGAAACAGGCATCACCATTTCCATTTTATAGGTGAAGAAATGAGGCTCAGAGAGCTCATACAACAGAACCAGAATTTGAACCTAGATCTTTCTGGTTATAAAGGCCATGCCTTTCAAGCTTTCTATCAGTCTTCAAGGAATAATAATCACTTATGTCATAGGAATAAAAGAATTCTAATGGGAATTGGTGAGAGTTTTCAAGAGTATGATTATAAAGGTCTTTTCATGTAGAGACGAAGACAAGGCCAGAGCCAGCCACCCCAAAAGAGGGTACTTGTAGGATTTCCTCCATCCGAAGTTTTCCTTCACCAGCCGGTGGCTGATTCCTGAAGGTTCAGCACTAGGAAATAATTTTTGGTTTTCCTTAGGAGGGAAGAGGATTGGTTAGGTTTTATCCCACGTTTTGAGAATAAAGCTCTAAAGTGATTGGAAAAAATTATTAGCTGTTTTCCAATGTGACATCCAATTAAGAGATTTGGACATCACAGTAGATGATGAAAGAGTCCCTTAAGGAGAATTGTAGTTCAGTCCCAGAGGAATGTGACCTGGAAATGGAGAGAGGAGTGATGAAAAAGAACGTGGGAGGCCTTGTAGAAAAACTTAACCTGATAAACAATTTTCCTCAGGCAGCTTCTGTAAACTGGACAGATGTTGAATTAGTTCATCTTTCAAGCAATGGAGGCATAATAAATGCTATTAACTTTTCAACATTAGAAAAAGTCTTGGTCCTGACACTACTGCCATATGAATCAAGGCAAACATACTGATTTCTGCTCTCAGTATAAATTAGTTCTAGCAAACAGCACTATTAGATGGGTTCCTAATATTTAAAAAAAAAAAAATTTATTTATTTATTTTGGCTGTGTTGGGTCTTTGTTGCTGCACACAGGCTTTCTCTAGTTTTGGCGAGTGGGGGCTACTCTTCGTTGCAGTGTGTAGGCTTCTCATTGTGGTGGCTTCTCTTGTTGCAGAGCGCGGGCTCTAAGCATGTGGGCTTCAGTAGTTGTGGCGTGTGGGCTTCAGTAGTTGTGGCTCACGGGCTCTAGAGCACAGGCCCAGTAGTTGTGGTGCACGGGCTTAGTTGCTCCGCAGCATGTGGGATCTTCCCGGACCAGGGCTTGAAGCTGTGTACCCTGCATTGGCAGGTGGATCTTTAACCACTGCGCCACCAGGGAAGTCCCCCAAATGTCTTTTAAAATTCAGTTTTATAAATATTTACTGTGTGCCTAACGCTGGAGTACAAAAGTGAATTGAATGTGCTCCTTATTCTTAAGCAGTTCTAGTAAAAAAATACCATATCTCTAGGGTGGTAACAATTTAGTGCTATGTCACGACATAAGAGGAAGACATTAGGATTCATCTACTATACTTACATTCTCACCTACATGTTCGTATAATACTAAACACCTACCATTTCCATATCTCTAAGTCAGCCCTGAAGTTGGCAGATTATCTACGGTGGTATATGGCTAGCAGGAAGAACAGCTATTGAGGGCATTCTGATAGGAATAGTGATGAAGAAAGTAATTTGCTTTCAGTAATTCTTTCTACTTCCCTTTTAATATAGAGAATATAGATTTGATGTATATATACCTACATAGGATTTTATAATATTGTCTACTTTATAAATTACTGGCATTTAAAAAAATAGTTTCTGCCTGAAAGATTTTCAGTTCTTGATTCCTTTTTTCATCTCATTCTTTCTCATGCATCCACTCAATGACCCAGGTTTCCTATATCCCTAGTGTATAAACCCCCAAAAAGAGACATAGAAAACTAGAGTAATGGGAACATAGTTTTATTGTACAGGTGATATTTTATACTCACTTTATTTTGATTTGACCCAATAGTATACTTAAATGAAGATGAACTTTCTTTTTTTTTAGCCTGCCAAGAATCAAGCACTACAAACTGATGAGTGTAGGAAAAAACTACACTATTGAATTGGAAAAACCTGTAAGTAACTATTTCCTTTTTGTTGATTAATTTTCTCCTGCTTCCTCCCAAACCTACCTTATAGAATTCAAAGTAAGTTGGGAAAGCAGACTCCTTGCCTAGGAACATAGTGCTGGCAAAAAACAGCCATGTTAACGGGCCCTGAAGGTAGCAGACAACCAGGGTGAGAAATGAGATGCAAGAGCAGGTGGGGGAGGCAGAGTAGAAGATCATCTGCTATCAATTCTTTCCACTTCTTTCTTTCTCTGAAGATCTTTATCAATATAATTATCTCAGGGAGAGAAAAATATTTTTGTTAAGCATCTATTTTACATCTTCTAATTAGAAGTATGTAAGTATTCCAATGTGCTTATTTATAAATTTATTTATTTATTTTTGGCTGCGTTGGATCTTCGTTGTTGTGCGTGGGCTTTCTCGAGTTGCAGAGAGCGGGGGCCACTTTTCGTTGCGGTGCACAGGCTTCTCATTGTGGTGGCTTCTCTTGTTGCGGAGCATGGGCTCTAGGAGCGCTGGCTTCAGTAGTTGTGGCTCACAGGCTCTAGAGCGCAGGCTCAGTAGTTGTGGCACACGGGTTTAGTTGCTCCGTGGCATGTGGGATCTTCCCGGACCAGGGCTCAAACCCGTGTCCCCTGCATTGGCAGGCGGATTCCTAACCACCAGGGAAGCCCCCAATGTTCTTATTTCTAATGGGAAAAAAAAATCTTTAAATGCCTGGTCCTTTAATACCCACCATGCAGAAGTTCAGAAATTCCCCTCTTAATAGTACCAAGTAGTGAAGAAAGGATTTCTTCCTTGTATTCAACCCCTCTCCTACCCCAACTGACTTGTAGTCATAACCATTCGATACTATGTTAGGCACAGAGCCAAATACTTCACACACACCATCTAATTTAATCTTTATCATTACCCTGAGGTAACATCTATTATACAGGTGGAAAAACTGGTATTTACACTGGTTTCAGCCAATGACAATGAAGTAATGTGGCCTGTGGTCCAGGATGCTGGGGAAAGGAAGCATCTGTAATGTCAGGCTGCAGTGGTGGGAAGACTGAGTCAGGAAAGTGCTATCACTTAAATGGATTCGATAGGTCTTGAAGATGTTTATGGTATCTTCTCTAAAATTGAGCTCCTTGTTCCTCTGCCTCTCCAGGCCCATTGTATTGATCAGAGAAAGGGAGTGTAGTGTTGAATTTCTTATGTTCTGGCCATAACCCTTAGAGCGCAGACTTTTACCAAGAGCAAGACAGCAGCTGCTTCATATACCCCACTTACATCTTTGCCATAAATGCCTCCCAGAGATTGTCAGTTCTCATGTCCACGCCTGACTGGGCTTTTTCAGAAATTCTAATGACGGAAACAGAGAATTAGATTGCTGAAGGATAATCCAAATAACCAAGTGACTGGAAGCAATGGTTGGGGAGGAAGAATGTGCCTCTGCAACAGGTGAACTGGGGCTCATTTATCTGTCATTAGCCCCAACAGTCCCCAGTGTACACAAAGTGAACAGCCTGGATTATTCTTTCACCTTTCATACTCCTCAATCCTACCCTTCAACCAGGTTGTCATTTTGTGAATTCTTTTTCCTTTTTAAGTTTACCAGGGATATTCAGGTTTAACCTAGTTTTACTTGTCAAAAAATATTGGCTTAGGGGGTAGCAAGACATTTTAGTTACTCCTAGCCAAGTAAATTAGCCTGTTACAATGAGATATTAAAACGCTAAGTTCTCTGGCTTTAAAGGGGTCTTTAGTTTCAAGCAGAAGAAAGCAATTATGGCTAACAAGCAAAAAAAAGAATTTAAGAACATAGGAAGCCCATAGAATGACTGGAAGGCTAGAAAACCTTCAGGGACTAGGAAGCAGTTACTTGTACTAAGCATCGTCTGATTAGGAATCTGCTTTCTTGATCCTCTACTCAAGTTCAAATTTCAGGAAGGGAGCTTTTTTGGGCCTAACTTGAATCACATTCTCATACAGTAACTGGGAAAGAGCAGACTGAGTAATTATTGTCCACCAAGCTGTATACAATAGGAAAGGGGTAATTTCTTTATAGGGAATTAGATACGGTTATAAAGGAGAAAGAAAATGCATGGGTAGGTAAAACCCTGGCCATTCAGTAAGCTATTGAAGTGAGGAATTGACACGATTTTCTGGAGGATAGGAAATACACGGTAATCTCCATTAAATTTCATTTGAGCTTTCTCTTACTCTATCTTTACACAGGTGACACTGACCTTCTCTTATTCTCTGTATACAGGTAACACTCCCAAATCTTTTCAGCGTCATTGATTATTTCGTGAAGGAGACTCGAGGAAATTTACGACCATTTATATATTCAACTGATGAAACCCTTGGTATGTTCTTCACTTCATTGCTATATTAAGAAAAGGAAAACAAAACAACAACAAAGAAACCTACATATGATTTGTAATACCAACCAGGTAGGATTATATAGTTCAGCCTTTAAATTTATCCATTTGGAAATCATTTTGTCACTGACCCTGTGAAAATAAGGGAAGTACCAATAAATCCTGGTGGATAGAGTATAGGCCCACTCTAGAGAAAAAAATCCTGAGGCATGTATTGTGACTATTAACTTCATTCCATCATTCCACTCAACTTTATCAAACAAATTTGATGAGAAGAAAGCCATACAGAGTCACAGAAACCAAACAGGGAATTTAAAGGTATGGTCTGTCAACAATGTCAGATGCTGGAGACATGAAAATGGATGAGGATTAAGGGGACACTATGGGGATTGGCTAGTAGGCAATAGATGACTTGAGAGTGCGGTCTTATTCCACTGTAAAGGCAGAAGGCAGAGTGCAAGATAACAAGTAGTGGGTGGGTAGTGAGGAACTACAGATGAAGATCGTAGTTAGGATTGGCTATGGGGCCCCTTGTTCATAAGTTATTAAGAATTTCAAAACAGTGGTAGCAGACCATTAAACCAAGCATGAGACCCAGTGCAAGTACACAGTTCACATGACCACAAAGCTGGCCCTGTTTGTAGTCCAGTTTTTGGCAAAGCAGGGCAGGCTGGATGTGACAGTCTTTCCATCCTTTGAAACAATCCCTGGTGCACATGGTCACTTGACAAGCTGTAAGCAGGAGAGAAAAAATATCTACAGATTATGAGGCAAAACAACTTGGTTTGGTTACCGCATCAGGGCATATCTGGCAAGTCTCACTAATTAAAAGGACGGCAAGCTTTAAAGGTCCAAGTTTTAAAACATGGGTACGACTCTTGTGATGCCAAATAATTTCAATAAACTTAGAGTCTGAAGGAACTTTAGAAAATTATCCAGTATAGTGTCCCATTCTGTATAGGAATCACCTGCACACTCAATACAGAAAACGTCTCTAAGATGTGACCAGTTTGTAAATTCTTAATGACAGTCACCTCACTGATTTTTAACGCAGCATAGTTCACTTTTGGTCAGCTCTCACTTTAGATAATTATTTCTACTATTGAGTCTGAAACATTCTTCCTTTAACGTATACATGTTAATACAACTTTTGGCTTTAAAACAACACATGGTTTTAAAAAGCCCATCAAATATTTAAAAACTGCCACCATGTCCCCCCTTAGTCTCACTTTGTCAACTACAGATTATTGGTCCCGTCAGCTCTCTCCCTCTCATCTTTGACCTTCTCTACCTTAAAATATAACCACAAAGGATGAACATGTTATTATAGATATGTCAGCATAATACATTGCCTGGGCTTTATGCAGGAAAATACCACCTAATAGAAATCTCTGGGAATGTGCTATTAATGTGCTTCTTTTTTTCCCCCAGAGATGAAAGGATTTCCTGTAACATCTCTAAAATAATTTTTTAAAAAAAGGGTGAGGGCTCCAATATAATTTGCCTCCTCTATGGATGATATTGTGTCAGTTATCTAATGCTGTGTAACAAACCGCCCCTAAAGCATGGTGGTTAAATCAACAACCGTTTTACTTGCTCACGACTCTGCACATCAGCAGTTTGGATTGGATTCAGTTGGGCAGTTCTTCTGCTAGTCTCACTTGGCGTCATTCACAGGACTATAACCAGCTGGTGGCTTGACTGGAGCTGCATGGTCCAAGTTGGGCTCATTCGCACATCTGGTGCTGGTGGTCAGCTGGGGCTGGCTGAACCACTCTCTTCATGGTCTCTAATCCTGGAGGAGGTTAGCCCATGTTCTCTCACATGAGAACTCGGAGTAGTTAAGGAGGGAAGGGTAGCTGCATGTACTTGGGTTAGGAATTCTTAGTGTTGAGAACAAAGTATGGCCCTTTTGGAGTTTTTCATATAGAAGAAACTGTGAACTGAATGATTCCAAGTGTGATATATCTTATGTACAGGGGTTATTTTTCTTCCTTTCTTTTAAAAAATTACCTAATTTGTATAAATAAAATTCTCTTTTTGGTGTATAGTTCTATGAGTTTTGACAACTATCACCACAATCAAGACACAGAAAGTTGCATCATCTCAAAAAAAGCCCTATGTTCTTCCATTTTAGTCAACCCTTCTTCTCACACACAATCCCTGGCAACCACTGATCTGTTTCCATTCCTATAGTTTAACATTTTTCCAGAATATCATATAAATGGAATCACAGTATGGAACCTTCTGAGGCTGATTTCTTTCACTCATTATAATGTATAAATTCACACAAGTGTTGTGTATTAGAGCTCACTCTTTTTTATTTATGAATAGTCTTTTTCTGTAGGGAGGTACCAGTTTGTTTATCCATTCACCAATTTAAATATATTAGGGTTGTTTCCAGTTTTGTGAAATTATTAAGCTATATAAATATTCATGTGAGATTTTTGTGTGAAAATAAGTGTTCATTTAACTTTGGTAAAATATCTAGGAATGAGATTACTGGATCATATAAGTATGTGTCTAACTTTTTATAAGAAACTGTAAAACTCTTCTCACAGGTAGTCCCACCTTTTTACATCTCTACCATCAATGTCTGAGAGCTCTGGTTGCATCCTTGCCAGCACTTCATATTATCTTTAAAAAAGTTATTCTGGACGCAGACATAGAGAATGGACTTGAGGACATGGGGAGGGGGAAGGGTAAGCTGGGACGGAGTGAGAGAATGGCATAGACATATATACACTACCAAATGTAAAATAGCTAGCTAGTGGGAAGCAGCTGCATAGCACAGGGAGATCAGCTCGCTGCTTTGTGACCACCTAGAGGGTGGGATGGAGGGGGAGGGAGGCGCAAGAGGGAAGGGATATGGGTATATATGTATACATATAGCTGAGTCACTTTGTTATACAGCAGAAATTAACACAACATTGTAAAGCTTTTTTTAAAACATCCAATAAAGATGTTTTAAAAAAAGTTACTGTCAAGTCTGTAGTGGTATCTCTGTAGTTTTAATATGTATTTCCCTAACAATTAAGGATGCTGAGCACCTTTCCATTGTGCTATTTGCCATTCATATATCTAATCTGGCAAAATATATGCCTAAATATCTTGCCCATAATTTTACTGGGTTGTTTTCTTATGGTGGAATTTTGACGGTTCTGTTCATATTCTGAATATAAGTCCTTTGTCAGATATGTGATTAACAATTTTTTTTTCATTCTTCTAACAGCATCTTTTTTAAAGCAGTCTTAAATTTTGATGAAGTACAATTTATCAATTTTTGCTTCTATGGATTGAACTTTTGGTGTTGTATCTGAGAATTCTTTGCCTAACCCAAGATCATGAAGACTTTTTTCTTATGTTTTCTTTTTTTTTTTTTCTGATTTAGAAATAAACACTTTTATTTTTTTTATGTTTATATTAGATTTTCTCTCTTTTTTTTTTTTAACATCTTTATTGGGGTATAATTGCTTTACAATGGTGTGTTAGTTTCTGCCCCATAACAAAGTGAATCAGTTATACATATACATATGTTCCCATATGTCTTCCCTCTTGTGTCTCCCTCCCTCCCACCCTCCCTATCCCACCCCTCCAGGCTGCCACAAAGCACCGAGCCAATATCCCTGTGCCATGCGGCTGCTGCCCACTAGCTATCTACTTTACTATGTTTGTTAGTGTGTATATGTCCATGACTCTCTCTCGCCCTGTCACAGCTCACCTTTCCCCCTCCCCATATCCTCAAGTCCGTTCTCCAGTAGGTCTGCGTCTTTATTCCTGTCTTACCCCTAGGTTCTTCATGACATTTTTTTTTCTTAAATTCCATATATATGTGTTAGCATACGGTATTTGTCTTTCTCTTTCTGACTTACTTCACTCTGTATGACAGACTCTAGGTCTATCCATCTCATTACAAATAGTTCAATTTCGTTTCTTTTTAAGGCTGAGTAATATTCCATTGTATATATGTGCCACATCTTCTTTATCCATTCATCCGATGACGGGCACTTAGGTTGTTTCCATCTCCGGGTTATTGTAAATAGAGCTGCAATGAACATTTTGGTACATGACTCTTTTTGAATTTTGGTTTTCTCAGGGTATATGCCCAGTAGTGGGATTGCTGGGTCATATGGTAATTCTATTTGTAGTTTTTTAAGGAACCTCCATACTGTTCTCCATAGTGGCTGAACCAATTCACATTCCCACCAGCAGTGCAAGAGTGTTCCCTTTTCTCCACACCCTCTCCAGCATTTATTGTTTCTAGATTTTTTGATGATGGCCATTCTGACTGGTGTGAGATGATATCTCATTGTAGTTTTGATTTGCATTTCTCTAATGATTAATGATGTTGAGCATTCTTTCATGTGTTTGTTGGCATTCTGTATATCTTCTTTGGAGAAATGTCTGTTTAGGTCTTCTGCCCATTTTTGGATTGGGTTGTTTTCTTGTTATTGAGCTGCATGAGCTGCTTGTAAATTTTGGAGATTAATCCTTTGTCAATTGCTTCATTTGCAAATATTTTCTCCCATTCTGAGGGTTGTCTTTTGGTCTTGTTTATGGTTTCCTTTGCTGTGCAAAAGCTTTGAAGTTTCATTAGGTCCCATTTGTTTATTTTTGTTTTTATTTCCATTACTCTAGGAGGTGGGTCAGAAAGGATCTTGCTGTGATTTATGTCATAGAGTGTTCTGCCTATGTTTTCCTCTAAGAGTTTGATAGTTTCTGGCCTTACATTTAGCTCTTTAATCCATTTTGAGCTTATTTTTGTGTATGGTGTTAGGGAGTGATCTAATCTCATACTTTTACATGTACCTGTCCAGTTTTCCCAGCACCATTTATTGAAGAGGCTGTCCTTTCTCCACTGTACATTCCTGCCACCTTTATCAAAGATAAGGTGACCATATGTGCGTGGGTTTATCTCTGGGCTTTCTATCCTGTTCCATTGATGTATATTTCTGTTTTTGTGCCAGTACCATACTGTCTTGATTACTGTAGCTTTGTAGTATAGTCTGAAGTCAGGGAGCCTGATTCCTCCAGCTCCTTTTTTCGTTCTCAAGATTGCTTTGGCTATTCGGGGTCTTTTGTGTTTCCATACAAATTGTGAAAGTTTTTGTTCTAGTTCTGTGAAAAATGCCAGTGGTAGTTTGATAGGGATTGCATTGAATCTGTAGATTGCTTTGGGTAGTAGAGTCATTTTCACAATGTTGATTCTTCCCATCCAAGAACATGGTATATCTCTCCATCTATTTGTATCATCTTTAATTTCTTTCATCAGTGTCTTATAATTTTCTGCATACAGGTCTTTCGTCTCCTTAGGTAGGTTTATTCCTAGATATTTTATTCTTTTTGTTGCAATGGTAAATGGGAGTGTTTTCTTGATTTCACTTTCAGATTTTTCATCATTAGTATATAGGAATGCCAGAGATTTCTGTGCATTAACTTTGTGTCCTGCTACTTTACCAAATTCATTGATTAGCTCTAGTAGTTTTCTGGTAGCATCTTTAGGATTCTCTATGTATAGTATCATGTCATCTGCAAACAGTGACAGCTTTACTTCTTCTTTTCCGATTTGGATTCCTTTTATTTCCTTTTCTTCTCTGATTGCTGTGGCTAAAACTTCCAAAACTATGTTGAATAAGAGTGGTGAGAGTGGGCAACCTTGTCTTTTTCCTGATCTTAGTGGAAATGCTTTCAGTTTTTTACCATTGAGGATGATGTTTGCTGTGGGCTTGTCATATATGGCCTTTATTATGTTGAGGAAAGTTCTCTCTATGCCTACTTTCTGCAGGGTTTTTATCATAAATGGGTGTTGAATTTTGTCAAAAGCTTTCTCTGCATCTATTGAGATGATCATATGGTTTTTCTCCTTCAATTTGTTAATATGGTTTATCACATTGATAGATTTGCGTATATTGAAGAATCCTTGCATTCCTGGAATAAACCCCACTTGATCATGGTGTATGATCCTTTTAATGTGCTGTTGGATTCTGTTTGCTAGTATTTTGTTGAGGATTTTTGCATCTATATTCATCAGTGATATTGGCCTGTAGTTTTCTTTCTTTGTGACATCTTTGTCTGGTTTTGGTATCAAGGGGATGGTGGCCTCGTAGAAGGAATTTGGGAGTGTTCCACCCTCTGCTATATTTTGGAAGAGTTTGAGAAGGATAGGTGTTAGCTCTTCTCTAAATGTTTGATAGAATTGGCCTGTGAAGCCATCTGGTCCTGGGCTTTTGTTTGTTGGAAGATTTTTAATCACAGTTTCAATTTCAGTGCTTGTGATTGGTCTGTTCATATTTTCTATTTCTTCCTGATTCAGTCTTGGCAGGTTGTGCATTTCTAAGAATTTGTCCATTTCTTCCAGATTGTCCATTTTATTGGCATAGAGTTGCTTGTAGTAATCTCTTATGATTTTTTTTATTTCTGCAGTGTCAGTTGTTACTTCTCCTTTTTCATTTCTAATTCTATTGATTTGAGTCTTCTCCCTTTTTTTCTTGATGAGCCTGGCTAGTGGTTTATCTATTTTGTTTATCTTCTCAAAGAACCAGCTTTTAGTTTTATTGATCTTTGCTATCATTGCAGGCTCTTTAATGTTAAATTATTGCATCCCTGTTAATCTAAGAGTTAGCATAGCATTTTGGCCAACAAAGCCAGCCACAATACTTCTCCCCACACATAGGTGAATCTACTTATTTACATGGTAAATAATCTTATTATTTTTGTCTTCTCTAAAGTACAACCAAAGTGTCATCTCTTTGACATTATTCATTAAAAAAGTAAAATGAAGACAGATGTTTTCCTATTTAATGAAGTCAGTATATAAGAAACTTTAGTTACATGGGGGAAAATGATCACTACTAAATAACTCCCTAAATAATCTCAGGTTAATTTTCAAAGGAGTTCATCTTTGAGTAAATGCCTGTATATCCTATCTATCTTAGATATGCATTTTATACACAAACACACTTATATGTATATATTTTAATTAAACACTTAGCTTGTTAACCTTCCTTTCAACAAATAATTCTGTGCTTAGTTTTTTCCTCTGGTGCTTATTCTAGTCACCTTATCCTGATTGCTGCTTTTTTTTTTTTTTAATAAATTTATTTATTTATTTATCTTCGGCTGCATTGGGGCTTCGTTGCTGCGCTTGGGCTTTCTCTAGTTGTGGCGAGTGGGGGGCTACTCTTCGTTGCGGTGTGCGGGCTTCTCATTGCAGGGGCTTTTCTTGTTGCAGAACATGGGCTCTAGGCGCACGGGCTTCAGTAGTTGTGGCTCTAGAGCGCAGGCTCAGTAGTTGTGGCACCCGGGCTTAGTTTCTTCGCGGCATGTGGTATCTTCCCGAACCAGGGCTTGAACCCATGTCCCCTGCACTGGCAGGTGGATTCTTAACCACTGCGCCACCAGGGAAGCCCTGATTGCTTCTTCTATAAAACTTACCTTTTTTGGTTTTAAACAAACTCATTTGCTTAGTTTGAACTCATTGTACACTCTTTAAAACCAAGTTTGTAATATTTTCTTATGAATTAAAATGAATTTTCTTCCAATAATTTTTCTACTTCTGGCCACTTCTCTCCCCAAAGTAGTCTTGATCACTACCTGAATATTAGTGCTTATGAGGATAAACATGTGATGTTTTCTCTTTTATAACTTCTACAATGCCTTGGTCTAGACCAGAATTTCATTGCCTAACTTTAAAAAAAATAATCCTGTAACAAAAATTCTGTAATTACTTATCTTCAACATTTTAAAGGCTATAGTTTCTGGTAAACATCTTTGAAACTGTGCATTCACACTTTATTTTTTAATTTCAAAAGGCACTTCAGTTTCCTTCTGAATGCTGCAAAATTATATGCTACAGTCTATTGCATTCCATTTACAGAAGAGGTAAGATATTCTTCAAGCCCTAACAAGTGATAGAAAAGGTTAGAATTAGATGACTTAGCTAATTGCATCATCAAAATGTGTTTTATGTTATAAGAATCATTCTTCGATATAAACTTCATTTTGTTCTAGTGTTGCCCATTCTAATAAAGCAGAAGGTAAAATCTCATTGCAGCATCACTAAGTGGAAGAAAGTCACTTTTTTTTCTGAACTTAAGTAGCGAAACAAATATTTGTAAAAGCAGTCTTACTTTATTTTTAAAACATTTATAACCTACTAACTTTAATTATTGTAATTACTCTGAAAACCCAAAGTGACCTATTTCATAACAATTTTTAAATATTTCTTAGTGACTCTGTTATCATTTGTTTGGCTTATTTTTGTGAAATTAACATATGCTTTTCAGGAGATTTGAAAATGCTAAGCCTACATTGACATTTCTTTACTTTTATCATTTATACCTTTTCTCTTAGCCATCGTCTTCATTGACTCATATGTAAAGGGATCTAATACAGTTTTATTTGAAAGGCAGGTCTGCATTAGTGAATTTTCCTTCTCAAATGCATAATAGAGCTAAATAAATTAATATACTTTTAGGTACTAGGCTAAATGGGAAATATGAGCCAGATCCATAACTAGAATTGGCTATTTTGGATCTAGATAAAAATGCCTGTTGTACATTAATCCCTTTTGGAATTAACACGCAGTAAAATATACCATAAATTTCTGGTAAAAATAGTGGCATTCAGTTGGGTATTCTTTTTGTGAAAAGAGTGATAATTTTGTGATGAGTTGTAGGTGACCTCAAAAGCACTGTGTCTCAGTTTTTCCTAAGTAGATTCTTAATAATAAACATGTATATAGCCTTAAATTCATCTAAGTTTATCCTGAACCATTTAAATATTTTCCTGCTTCCAAAGGTATGAATTCCATTTACTGTGAGTCAATGTATATTGAGTATAACTTTCTGCAGGGAACTTTGTAAAACAATGAAGAGATAGTTCCTGATCTCAAGGCACTCTGTCTGATAAAACCAGTCCTAAAACTACCTTTTTAAAAATTTGTGGATGGACTTCCCTGGCAGTCCAGTGGTTAAGACTCCATGCTCTCAGTGCAGGGGGCACGGGTTTGATCCCTGGTCGGGGAAGATCCCACCTGCTGCATGGCATGGCCAAAAAAAAAAAAAAATTTGTGGAAAGAACTAAGATTTAAGGTTTGTTGAGTAACAAGTACTTTTTTACACACACCACCCCCACTTCCCAGCCTTTGTGGATGGTATTTCTATAGAAATAAAAGTAAATGTCACAAACAGATGTGGTCTAAACAGTTATATCATAAATTATTCAAATATTTAGTATGATAAAGGACCTTTTTTAGGTTGTTTTTTAGGTTTAGAATTCAGAATTTTAAGAATATGTTGATAAAATTACTGTTTTAAAAACCAGGACTTATCAGCAGATACCCTGTTGAATATTCTTTCCGAAGTAAAGATTCAGGAATTCAGACCTTCCAACAAGGTATGTGTACAAGTTCATTAATTTAGCAAATAGTTATTGAACTTCTACTTGTGTCAAGTCTCTTTCTAAACCTGGAGAAGCCCATAGGAACAAAACAAAATTCTTGTTCTTGTGTGAGTTGGGCCAGAGGCAGACTATTAAAAAAAGTGCCAATAATTATGTAATATTGCATTATGGGCATAAGTGCTAATAAGAAAAAATAAAACAGGGAAAACAAAGGGTAGTGGAGCTGGTGTCATCTTATACAAGATAAAAGGGGAAAGCTTCTCTGATATGGTAACATTTGAGCAGAAGCCTGAAGGAAGTGAGGGAGTGAGCCATACTGTTATCTGGTGAAAGAGCAGTACAGACGGCAGGAACAAGTTCAGAGAAAGGCCTTGAAAGACTTTGAAGGCTAGAGTTTTTCTGGAGGAGAATATGCAAGAGAAGAGTGGTAGATAGCGAGATTGGAGAGGTAGTGAGGGTTATAAGTACTTCATGTTTTATTATGGGATAAGAAGCCAGTGGAGGATTTTAAGCAGAGGACACAGCCTGACATATTTAAAAGGATGACCCTGGCGATTGTGTTAAGAATGATTAGGACATGAGAGGGGAAGCAGAAATAGCTATTAGGAGATTATAGTCAAGATGTGATGGTGGTTTGAATGAACCATCAAACAGGGGTAGTGGGTAACAGGGAAGATGTGGTAAGAGGTTGGATTCTGTGCACATTTTGCAGTAGCCCTGACAGGATTTGTAAGGAATTGGTTTGAGTGTGCAAGAAAAAAAGATTATTTTCTTAGTTGAAAAAAAGAAGCAAGCTTAATCGCTCCGAGTGACAGAGAGAAGATAGAGGAAGTTTGAGCAGAGAAAAAAAAGATGTGAAATAATTGCCTAGGGGAGTGGGAAAAGTGGGGAATTAGAAGATGTTGTAGAATTTTGAGATAATATTTAAGATCCACTTAATGTTAATTCCACTTAATGTATTCCACTACATGTGGCTGGAGAAAAGGCATTTAGCAGCTTGGGTGCTACTGTAGAATAGCTGGTAAATTGGATTGTAACAAGGGTTGGGATTTTGTCGGCAAATATGTTGGAAGGAGAAAGACAGGGAGTATTAATAAAGATGGAACATGAAATTTAGGCAGGGTAAATAAAAAAGTTTGAAAATACTACATATTTTTCTTTTTCACATGTTCATTATGTGCCTTTTCATATGCACTCTAAAAAGAAATAAACCACAGAACAACCTTCTGTTCCGTTTACCTTTAGCTATACTGGAAAATGTGGAGTAATGAGTGCCTCTCTGCAGAATTCAAGTAGGAAGTGGTGTGTGCAGTCTTCCACTCTGTGTTTTTATTTTAGGGACAAGGAAAACTTGTAGGCAGTTCATTTTGTGCAAGTAAATAGGTTTTCTGATTGAAATGTTCATGACTTGTAGTTTATCAAGAACAAAAGTACAGAAAGGAAAAACAAAATTCCTATATAAAGAAGATTCCTAGCCCATGTTTCTAATGGGCAAAGCTGCTAGACAGAAGCCAAGGAAATATGCATCAATAACTTTACAGGTCTCTACTGCTCTTCAATATGTTTTCTAGCTTGAATTGCTTCTTTCTGTGTCGAAGTTTTGGCGGCATAAATTACCCTGAGCAACTTTAACATGACTTATGAGCTTTTTCACCACTCCTTGAAGCAGCTCCCACTGAAGCTTCAGCATCTGGCACTCCTAGTTAAAAGATGCCATAGCCAAAAAATATCAACTACACATTCTGGCAAATAAAAATTACTGCTTCTCTGACTCCTTAATATTTCTCAAATATTTATAATCATATTTAATATGTAAAAATGTGAATTGGATTTTTTTAATAAGAAATAGTATTTTAATGATGATGTGTAGCTAGTTTCTTGGTTTGAGAATATTAACTTCACTGCCCTTGTTAAAGATAAATCACTTATATGTGCTGCCCTAAGCATGCAGCTATATGAAGGAAGACATATTCTTTGGGATAGAACTTCTTTTCAGTAGTCAATAAATATTTAAAAGATGCCCATATTATATATTTTGTGGATTTCGTCAGTTTCTTTGGAGACAGAAAACAGCTCTGCACTAGTTAGAGGTATGTAATTTGGTTTGAAGTTGATTTGTCAGAATCACAAACTGTTGATTAACATTAACTTTATTTTAGTGTGGAATTTTAAGAGAGAGTTGTATGAACTTAGATCTTATAAACTATTCCGTAAGTATTTTTAGCACCCACTATGAGCAAGTTTATTTTAGATATATTGAGGTTATCTCAGTGAACAAGATAAAGATCCCTGTTCTCATAGAGTTTACATGTCAGTGTGAGGCAGTAGATAATAAATATGTAAATAACATAATATTACTTAACAATAGAAGGTGTAAAATACATTGGACCATAACGATTAATAATCTAATTAAACCAATAGAATGTTTTCTTTTTGTGACTTATTAGATAAAAACAGATTTGTTAGTCAAACTTAGGTGTAGGATGTGATATCATTAATGAATATACATACATATATTTAAAGGTTGTTCAAACAGATGAAACTGCAAGGAAACCAGACCATGTTCCTGTTAGCAGTGAAGATGAGAGGAATGCTGTTTTCCAACTGGAAAAGGCTATTTCATCTAGTGAAGCTACCACAAGTAAGGGGAAATCTTTATAAAAATGTTTTGAACTAAAGGGATTTTTATTTTCACTTAACTGTACACTCAGAAGGTTGTGGGATTAAATCATAACAACAATAATGATATTACTTGATTCCATGATCATATGAAAGTCACTGTTCATTTTTAACTGTGACTAAATTCATAACTTTCTCCACCATTTCCCTACCGTAGAAGGCTGAAATGTAAGTCTGCTTTGTTTTTGCTGTTCTGATTGTTTTAGTTCTTGAGATTCTATTGTGTGATTCCTTTTTAACTTATGGCTAGCATAATGAAGAAAACATGGAGTCCTTTGGAGACTAACCCTGAGATCCAGTGAAATCACTTTAGGAAAAAAAATCATAGACAGATTTCTTCTTGGCTTGTTAGTCTCCATAATTACACACAGGGAATACAAACCTGACTTATGTACACCTTTGCTAAATGGTCTTAAATATAGAGAAACTGAACTTTTAATTCCTTAAAAACAGATCTGTATTAGCTCATGTTTTTAGACCTGCTCAGCACCTTTCTACTACATAAATTAGCAGTTTCCAAACTTTGGGGATTTTACACAAAGACCAGTAAAATTCAGGAGATTAGCCAGCTATTTGTTTTGCAAGTAAAAGGTTTATATCCTAAGTTAATAATTATAATTCTAGAAAAAACATATTACCATTTCTTACTTTCTTGTTTCATCACAGATTAAACTACACCTGTCTACAGAATGATCTGAGGAACCACTAATCTAGAAATCTTTCATAAAGACACTTATTTTTATTTGACCAATATATACCCTATTCTTAGTTATCAGAGGTAAAATGTTTCAGAGTAGTATTTATGAAATCAATTTTTGAACAGTACCCAGTGTTGACTTTTTTATTGTAAGCCACTTAATAGCAGATGTACATGGCTTTCTTATTTTTATGTTTTTTTAGAAAGGTTTTTTTTTTTAAATATTAAAACTTCTAATTTAGTGGTTTTAAAGCCATCATTTTCATATCCTTCAGTAACTTCAGTTCCCTGGATGTTGTTGTTGTCGTTGTATTTTTCAGTCATTTGCAAACGTAAACAAAAAGGAATCTTTAACAGTAGTGAACCCACACTACCTTGCTTTTTACCTAGTAAAGCCTTTATCACTTACTAGGAAACTTTGTTTTTCTGGTTGTTGTCATCAGGTGACCTTCAGATGGCAGTGCTTTCATTTGAAAAAGATGATGATCGTAATGGACACATAGATTTCATCACAGCTGCATCAAATCTTCGTGCCAAAATGTATAGCATTGAACCAGCTGACCGTTTGAAAACAAAACGCATAGCAGGTAGAATTATACCTGCTATAGCAACATCCACTGCTGCAGTTACTGGCTTGGTGAGATTATGATTCTTTGAAAATGCTTGTTATTCATTGCTTCTTTTCTGTCTTCCCTATTACACCACCCCAAACCATTCACTCAGAGATCTTAGAGAAGGAGGGATACATATTGATCTTATAATTTAAAATTGTAAGATATTTCTGAAAATACAGTAATCTGTATTTTGAACTTTTACAGATAATACAGACATTTTAATGTAAAAAAATAAGCTCTGTCAAGATAGAGTATAACTTTTCTTACAGGCAATAATCCTCTTCATCATCTTTGTATCCTCTATACAATCCAAATGCTCTATTTTTCTTGAATAAAATGAACTACCCTAATCTTTGCTCTTTGATTATATTGGATTTTAGTTCTTTGTCTTAAAATAAATGTAATTTCTGTTAGTGATTTGGATTTCTTTAAATTTAGTCTTTCCTTAATGATTTAAAATCTTTAGGATGGCCCTAGTTATTATACCTTACTGTAGTGTTATTCTTAGAAGCTATGTAATTATTGTTCCTATTATTAAATGATTTTAGACTGCTGTATTGCTTGACTTCTGATATCTGCTTTCAAAGTAGGAAGATTACATGGTCAAATTAGTTAGAGGCTTATAAGAAATTTATATTACTCCAGTCCAATAGCTGCTTTTATTCTCTACACAGAAATGCTTGAGAAGAATTCAGGAAAATTATATACATGCAATTAAAGTCATGAATAGTTTTAGGCTATTTATATAATCAGATCACCTTCTTTTATCTAGGTTGCACTGGAGATGATCAAAGTAGCTGGTGACTATCCATTTGAAGCTTACAAAAATTGTTTCTTTAACTTAGCCATTCCAATTATAGTGTTTACAGAGGCATCTGAAGTAAGAAAAACTGAAATCAGGTATGCATGAAGGTGTGTTTCTCTTGCATAATGAGAATGAAATAATTTTTTTACCTTTTAAAAGGGATAAATAATAGCTTTATCTCTCCTTTTCTCCTATATATATAAACTCTTACATCACTTCATGATGAGGTCAAAACTCCATCTTCATGTAGCATTTCTTTTTTTTTCTTTTTTTATTGTATAATTGACATACAGCATTAAATTAGTTTCAAGTGTACAACACAATGATTCAACACTGGTATATGCTGTGAAATGATTACAATAAGCCCAGTCACCATCCATTATCATACATAGTTATAGAATTTTTTTTTCTGATGACAAGAACATTTAAGATTTACTCACTCAGCAACTTTCAAATATGCAGTAGAGTATTATTAACTATAGTCACCATGCTTCACATTATATATCCATGATTTACTCATCTTACAACCAGAAGTTTGTACCTTTTGACTCCCTTTATCCATTTGCCCACCCTCACCACCTGTTTCTGGCACTATCAGTGTTCTCTATATCTATGAGCTTGGGATTTTTTTGGGTTTTGTCTGGTTGGTTGGTTGAGTTTTTTGTGGGATTTGTTTGTTTTAGATTCCACATATACATGAGATGATAAGATATCTGTCTTTCTCTGTCTGACTTATTTCACTTAGCGTAACGTCTTCAGGGTCTATCCATGTTGTCACAAATGGCAGGATTTCGTTCCTTTTATGGCTGAATAATACTTCATTATATATAGTACCACACTTTCTTTATCCATTCATCAATGGACACTTAGATTGATTCCATGTCTTAGGTATTACAGGTAATGCTGCAGTGAACATGGGAGTACAGATATCTTTTCAAGTTAGTGTTTGCATTTTCTTTAGATAAATACCCAGGAGTGGAATTGCTAGATCATATGGTAGTTCTGTTTTTAATTTTTTAAAGAACCTACATACTGCTTTCCATAGTGACTGTATCATTTTTACGTTCCCACCAAGAATGTACAAGAGTTCCAATTCCTTCGCATCCTTGCCAACACTTGTTATCTTCTGTTTTTTGATGATAGCCATCCTAATAAGTGTACAGTGATATCTCATTGTGGTTTCGATTTGTATTTCCCTAATAATTAGTGATAATTAAGCATCTTTTCATGTACCTGTTGGCCATCTGTATGTCTGCTTTGGAAAAATGTCTTTTCAGGTCCTCTGCCTATTTTATTATTGGATTGTTTGGGTTTTTTGCTGTAGAGTTGTATGTGTTCGTTATATATTTTGGATATTAACCCCTTACCAGATATATGATTTGCAAATATTTTCTCCCAGTCGGTAGGTTGCGTTTTCAGTTTGTTAGTGGTTTTCTTTGCTGTGTAGAAGATTTTTAGTTTGATGTAGTTCCACTTGTTTATTTTTGCTTTTGTTGCCTTTGCTTTTGGTGTCAAATCTAAAAACTTATCACCAAAACCAGTGTCAAGGAGCTTACCACCTAAGTTTTCTTCTAGGAGTTTTAGGTTTCAGGTCTTACATTCAAGTCTTCAATCTATTCTGAGGTAATTTTTGTGTGTGGTGTAAGATAGGAGTCCAATTTTATTCTTTTGCATGTAGCATGAAGCATTGCTGACTAAACTAGCCATAGAACTCTCACAATACATAATCGTCCACACTGTTTAGCATTGTACTTTCTATGGTTTCATCTGTCTGCCTGATTCAGATGAATTAGAAGCCATTCTAGTGTCTGACTAATGGATAATGAGATTAAGAATCTAGTTCCAAAAGTTGTATGACAAAGCAAATCAATTCCCCTGGACTTCCATTTTTCAATTTTTAAATTGGTAACAACCAAAAATTTGAAAACTATTATCTTGGCAAGAGTATGAGAAAGCACTGTTATACATTACTGATGAGAGTATAAAATAATATAACCCATATTAAGGCAAATATAGCACTATATTTCAAACTTGCAGATACATTTGCACTCATCTCAAATGATATATGAACAGGATATTCATTTTGGCATTGTTTATCATAGCCAAAGATTGGAACAACCTAAGTGTCTAGTAATAGGAGACTGGAACATCCACACAGTGAAACTCATGCAACTGTTTAAAGAGAGAAATGGAACTCTCTTGCTAAGACATACTGATTTATAATAAGACACTGGAAAGATAAACAAGGTACTGATAAAAGTGGTTACCTGTGTGGTGTGATGGGGAAGTAAGATGGAATTATGGAATATTTTGTTATATTTTCCTTTTTTATTCCCACATTAATATCTAGCTAAATCACAAATAGTGGACTTCTGGGATTTTTTATTATTACTAAAGGGAAGAAAATTTAAATGTTTTTGTTCTGAATATTTTTCTACAACAGAAATGGAATATCATTTACAATTTGGGACAGATGGATTATACATGGAAAAGAAGAGTTCACCCTCTTGGATTTCATAAATGCAGTCAAAGTGAGACAATTATTCATTAGTTGCTTTGAGTCTGTTAGTTTTATACATAATTTCGTTAGAGGTTTTTATAAATATTATTTAGCAGGAGTTTTCTCTCTTTTTACTGGTTGTAAAACATTGTCATCCAGCGTTTTATATTTGGGTGGAGCTTTGATTGTTTCTTTTGGGTATTCACTTTCAGGAGAAGTATGGAATTGAGCCAACAATGGTGGTACAGGGAGTCAAAATGCTTTATGTCCCTGTAATGCCTGGTCATGCAAAAAGATTGAAGTTAACGTAAGTATTGAACATTATATGCAAGATATTCTCAAAAGTTGAAATATAAGTTGGATGCACACTAGAAAATTAAATATAGAGGTTATTGAAGTTCAGACAAAAATATGTGATTTACTCCTATCTAATGGCAGTAATAAAGACAGTGACTCTGCCAAGCTCCACAGGCTACCTATCAAGTGAGGTTTATAGGATCATAATACCCTTGTGAGTTTATTATCATTCAGGGTCATCTTATAAGCTAATAGGCTTAGAAACCTGATTTGGTCAATATACCAAGTAAAAGTAGATTCACCTCTTATATGCAAACACATAAGGACTAGGCTTGTGAGACTGAAGTATTTTTTTTTAAATGCCGAATTGTTATTTTCATTTATTCAACAGATTTTTTTAAAGAATGCCTGCTATGTACCAGGTACTTTTGTAAACATTAGGGATACAGCAGTGAGCAAAGCAGAGTCCCTGCCCTGCTTGAGGAGTTTACATAACAATTAAATATGTATGTAAGATGGTGATAAGTGCTGTTGAAAAATAAAGCAGAATAAGGGGGTATTAAGTTGCTACAGTATATTGGGCAATCTAGGTATTCCCTCTGCCTGTCATATTCTTGTTGTTGTTGTTGTTAAAGATTTATTTATTTATTTTATACTTATTTTTGGCTGCATTGGGTCTTTGTTGCTGCATGCAGGCTTTCTCTAGTTGTGGCAAGAAGAGGCTACTATTCATTGCGCTGCGCGTGCTTCTCATTACAATGGCTTCTCTTGTGGAGCACGGGCTCTAGGCATGCGGGCTTCAGTAGTTATGGCTCATGGGCTCAGTAGTTGTGGCTCGCGGGCTCTAGAGCGCAGGCTCAATAGTTGTGGCGCACGGGCTTAGTTGCTCCGAGGCATGTGGGATCTTCCCGGACCAGGGCTCGAACCCATGTCCCCTGCATTGGCAGTCAGATTCTTAACCACTGCACCACTATGGAAGTCCCTGCCTGTCATATTCTGATGTGAAAGGCTGACATTTGAGCAGAGACCTAAAGGAAGAGAGGGAGGAAAACAGCCAGTCTTTACAGTGGTCTGCAAGGCCCTAAATTATCTAGTTCCCACTTACCCTTCCAAGTTCCTTACTTCTCTCTCCTTGCTCACAATATTCCAGTTATACTGGCCTCCTTACTTTTCCTTGAACATTCCAGTCTCCAACATGCGACCTTTGCTCTAGTTTTTCCCTCTGCTTGCAACTCTTTCTGAGATGGCCATCTGACTAACTCTCACCTGTGGTCTTTGCACTTCCTGAAGAGGCCTCTCTGAACTCTATTTAATACTGCATCCTGTCTGGTACCCCAGCCTAGCATGCCTAATCTCTTTTACGCTGCTCTACTTTTCCTCTTTCTCATAGCATTTATCACTGTCTAACAGTTACTGTATTATTTATTGTCTCTCCCCTCCCACCAATATAAGCTTCATTCACAAGGGCAGGGATCTATATTTGATATATTCATTTTTTAAAATCATATCTCACATTTTAGGTTTTTTTCTGTGGAGTTTTTTGTTTTTGTTTTTAAATAAGTGGTCTGTATTCCTTATCATTACCAGCAAAGGTAAAAATTGATTAACTGTTAGGTAAAAGAATGTCTTGATTTTAGAGCTTTTAGTATAGAAAATAATTATATGAAAGCAGGTGAATTATTAGATTTAAAAATAAATTTAAACAAGCCCAGATTCTTTGGACAACATTATCACCAAATTACTCTTTCATTTTACAGAATTTACCAAATTATTTTTCCTTGCTTATTTTTCCTTAGAATGCATAAACTTGTGAAACCTTCTACTGAAAAGAAATATGTGGATCTTACTGTGTCATTTGCTCCAGATACTGATGGAGATGAAGATTTACCTGGACCTCCAGTAAGATACTACTTTAGTCATGACACTGATTAACAGAAGTTGTCTTAAATTTAGGACTACTTGATTTTGGAAAGAATGCACTTATTCAGGAGCTTAAAGAGTCAGCTCATAATGCTATGGATTTCTCTTTGATGAAGCCTTGATTTAAGGGAAACATCAGTAAAAAACTACAGTGAAGAATTGTAAAGCATTTTGAAGCATAGTATACACATGTGTAGTGCTTCATATGTGGATGTGCTCACAAGCAACTTCGAACTGGAATGCTGTTTTATAATGCTTACCAAAAAATTGTGTATTAACCTCTTTGGATGAAAAGAAGGAAAAAAGAATGTATCTAAGACCAGAAGAAATAAAAGATCAAGAAATTGAAAATAACAAATGCAACTATCCAAAAAGTTTAATCCCATTTTATCAATTTCTTTTTGTTTAGTATTTGAGGCCCATTTTTCTATACAAACAGTGTTTGGCTCCCTGCACCTCTCATGATGAGGCTTTGAATTTAACACCAATGGAGCAGGGATGGTAGCAGTGGATGAAGAGTAGTTACTCTTAAAACTTTGAAAGTTACAGTTTACTGACATGTTACCTCTGCTGATTTAACCAGAGTTTGTTATATCACTGTCTCCCTAAAATCAGGATCTTTTGCTGATAGCATCAGTGTTGTAAGTCATGAGCAAGCACATCAGATGACAGGTGTTAACTGCGACTAAATGTTAACAATAGCATATGGACTCTGACAACCCGCTTAGAGAATCCATGAATGTGAACAGATAAATATGGCTAGTCATTTGATTCTTTAGTATGCCTTCTAGTGTGGCTATTTTATTTATTTGGAACTCTAAACCTGATTGTCATAGTATATAAGACTAAAAGGTTTTGTAAAGGGAGTGTCCTTAGAAGTAGATGAAAAGTAGAAATTAAAAAATTATCACTAGTTTAGTCTTGATTTTTTTTCTTCCAGCAGCCTAATGGACAGAAAAAATAATCATAAATTAATATTTTATTTTAAAGGGAAATGTATTATTTAATTCTACATTCCCAGAAAGGGAGTTGACAAAGATAAAAATTTATTTTTTTAGGTCTTTATTGATAGAAACTTTCTGTTTTCTGATATGAGCTATTGCATATGTTCATAGAAATGCTTTCATTAAAATAACATAAAGTGTACTCAACACTGTAAACTCAGTGAAAACAGCAAGTGTTTCTTTTATTTCTAGGGCTGTCATGCATTCTAAAGCAATTGGCATTTTGTAACCACAGAAAGTCATTTCCCTCTAGCTGCTTTTCTTCTGCTCTTCTGTTCAAACCATTAATAGGTACTTTGATAAATTAAAAACTAGATTCACATCAGTATTACTCCAATTTGGTATATTTTTATATTCTCTACTTAACTTTCCTTTTATTCCACTTACAAATAGTTTAAGTTACTTGGTCAACCAGCTGTATTGTTTCATTCTTTTGTAAAAGTATCATCCAATTGGGAAAATATATTTAGGAGTGGAGGGTGAATTTGTATGAATAAAGGGTAGTCTGTGTTGGAGGTGAGGATAAGTGGACAGGATGAGTTTAAAGGAAATGGCTACCTTTGAAATAAGCAGTTAATTTTGGTTCATCGTATCCTACCCTCTCCCATCATGTATATTGCAAATATAATGCTTAAAATTAATATTACTTAAAATTGAATCCAGGAATATCAAAGCTCTATGGCTTGGAACTTTAGAGGCTAGCAGCAGTAAAAGCACTTTCCTATAAGAAGTCTGTTCCCACTTTTTTGTTTTGTGCTCTATGACAATAACTGATATTTTCCAGGTAGCCATTCAATAATTCTCAACTATGATCTAGTAGCTTGCTTATATTTGATCTAAATCTCCACATCTCTTCAACAGTAAATTTAGAACAGAACCGTGCTATCAATTCTTATTTATAGAGATCAGTGCTTTAGCAGATATAAATAAAATCAGTAAGGATTAAGTTCATTTTGTGATTAAATCTGAAACCATATTGTCATTACTTTTTTTTCTGTAATGGTTATTGCCATTAGTTTCTTCTGTATAGTTCTACTAGGCTGGAAAACCAGCGTGAATTTAATGACGGTTTTTTTTCATTATCTGTTTTATTTCTGTACCATGAGATCAGTGCTGGTGATTAAAATACCAGGTGCAAAAATTAATGATTTGATTTTGTATGGTACCACTGAGTGATTTTTTACTTATTAAAAATAAATTAAGAAATTTGACAATATCTTTGTAAATCCTGTTCCATAGCTGACTCCAGAGATTCCAATTTTATTATTCATTTTGTGAGTAGTGTTGCTTTGGTGTTTCCTAGTTTTCAAGTTTTGCAATCATGGGGATAGAACACTCACTGGATGTGGAGAGACATTACTTCAAAGTGCTTTCAGCTCCTGGAAATTCTTTTAAAACAATTGAGAAATTGTAAAACCTAGAAGATCTGGTAAATCCCAGACTGTTGGTTGGGGATTTCCAAAGTCCATTCCTTTTTAGAGTTCAGAGCAGTATGTTACACATCTATAAGTTCCTCTAAATTGTCCCAAAGAACTTGGATGTAGATGTGTATCTTTATTTTTATTTTTTATGTGTCATGGCACTCCCTGGTGGTGCCAGTGACAAGACATAAAAATGTCAGCAGTGTTTAGAGTCCACTATTTTATAATTAGTAAAATGAAGACAGAAAGAAAATTATTCTCTTGAGATCTTGAGGGAAAATATTCTCTTGACCTAATAATCCTTTCAACTGCAATGAATATTATCAAAAATTCATTGTGATTGTAAATATATAACCATTTCGTATACAATCATTAGGTATGGGCTTAACTATTTTACTTTTAACAAATTCAAAACAAATCAGGAAGTTGCAATCTTGGGGGGTCACAGGAAGTAATCAGTAGGTAATTTGTTCATTTTTGTCTTGCCTTGTCTTAGCTTTGTCTATTTAAGAAATATATATTCATATATATATACATATATGTATGTGTGTGTGTATATATATATATTCAAAAGAGTATATAAAACACAAATACACAGTTTAAGGAATAATTTTAAAGTAACTAGTTGTATAACCAGCTCTCAAATCAATAGAACATTGACAGCAGCCCAGAAACTTCCCTTGCGGTCCCTTCCCAATCACAACCAGCTTCCCCACACATACCCTCTAGCAGTTAGCACTTTTCTACCTTTTGTGATAACTGTGTCTTTGTTTTTATTTATAGTGTTACCACCTATGTATGTACGTAAACAATACATACAGTTTACTTTTGTTGTTTTTGAACTTTATGTAAATAGAATCAATACATTCATTTGTGGCTGCTTCTTTCATTCAACATGGGATTCATCCATGTGGTTGCTTGTAACAATACTTCATTCATAGTCATTGATGTATAATTTTACCTTTGCGTTAATATACAACTATTTATTTATTCATTCTATTGACTGTGGACAATTGGGATGTTTGGGGGGTGGGTAATCACAGTTCCACAATGAACATTATTTTATGTATTGCCTAGTGTAACTAAGGTATATGTGCCTAGGAATGGAATTCCTTGGTCATAGGATATTCACGTCTTAAATTTTATTAGGTAATAACAGAGTTTTTCCTGAGCAATAGAATTGTCGTGTTTTCCCACTTTGCTCATCTCTGGTGTTAACAGATTTTTTTTTTTTTAATTTTGCCAATCTGTTGGATGTGCAGTTATATCTCGTTGAAGTTTTACTCTGCATTTCCCTAATTACTCTTGAAATTAAGCACCTTTTTATATGTTTGTTGGCCACTCTTTTTTGTGAAGTGACTTTTCAATTCTTTTGTCCATTTTTTGGTTGTGTTGGCAGATTTTTTTTCCTCCTTGATTCATAAAAGATCCTTATAAATCCTGTTCTTAGTTGGCTATATAATTGCAAATATTTTTTCCCACTCTGGCTTGCCTTTCCCTCTCTTTATGATGCTCTTTGATAAAAAGAATTTGTTAATGGTCAGGTACTGAGAAGTGTCAATTTTTTGTTTTAAAGCTAGATTTTTTTGTGAGTTTTAAAATAATTGTTCTCTAGAGCCACAAAGTCATGAAGATACTCCTCTATATTGTCTTCTAAAGCTTTAATTTTAACTTTCCCATTTTAAGTTTTTAATTCAAGAGGAATTAATTTTGTGTATGCTAGGAAGTGTCTCACCACCATTTACTGAAGTCCGTTCTTTTCTGCAGTGCCACCAAAGTCATATGTTATATCCGTATATGTATACGTCTCTTGCTGGATTTCTTGTTCCTTCTTTTCTATCCATGTGATGGTATACTTCTTCATCACGATAGCTGATATATTGTTTTTGATATTTGGCAGAACAAGTCCTCCCAACTTATTGTTCTGTAAAAGTGTCTTGGTTATTTTTAGCCCTTTGTTATTTTCAGTTCTCAAATTTCTAATTTCAAACATGCAAATCTATCACTTTGCAGCTTCTAATTGTCCTGCTGAAATTTTATATCTTTTATCTACCTGGACATGAAAAGCATGATTATTTTATAGTCTGTGTTTAATAATTCCCAAATCTGAAGCTCTGCTGGGGTCTCTCTTTATATTTTTGTTTCTGCTAATTCTTATTTATCTTGTATCCTTGTATGTGTGGTTATCTTTAATTGTATGCCAATATTGTATTTGAAAGCTTGCTTGTAGAAATATAGTTGACCCTTGAACAACACAAATTTGAACTGCCTGGGTCCACTTATGTGTGGATTTTTTTCACTAAATACTACAGTATTATATGATTTGTGGAAATGGAATTTCGGTTACGGAGGACTGACTGTAAAGTCATAAGTAGATTTTCAACTGTGCAGAGGGTTGGTGCCCTAATTCCCATGTTGTTCAAAGATCAACTGCAATTTGATGCCCAATAAGACATTTTCATCCTCCACAGAGTTTTTGTATCTGCTCTACTAGGCACTTGGGCACTAGTAATTCAGGAACATTTTGACCCAATTTCAGAAACTGAGATTTTCTGAGTCATCCATATGACTCAGAGCTGAGCTAACTGTACTAGTGCCCTTACTTCCTGTTAGTCCTTACTTCAAAAACTCTTCAGGCTTACTAAGTGTAGATTTGTGTTACCAGAGCTAGTGCCCCCACCTCTTGGCTGGCACTACATTCTACCTTTGAATCTCAAGTCCCTTAGCTCTGCTCAGCTTCTCAGTAGCCTCTTAAAAATCTGCAAAATCTCCCAGGGTACAAGTGGTCACAAATGAAGAATTCATTTCCTTTATGAATTTCTATTTTGTCTCAGATATTAACTTGATAATTATTCACTAACTTAGCTTTCTAATATCATCCAATACTTTTTCAAATATATTTGAAATATTTCTAAATATCCTCAAGTGAGAATGTTAAATCCAAATTACTCAGCCCACTTTATTTCCTGTTGATTATGTGTAAAGTGTAATTGATATCTTTGTATTGCTTCTGTATCTGGAAACTTACTAAACTCTAATGATGCTTGTAAGTTATTTGCAAATTCTTTTGGATAGTCTACATAATCTTTAAATAGGGACAGTGATTTGTTTTTTCTAAGATCCAAATTTTGGTTTTGTTAATCCTCTCTGTTTGTTTTCTGTTTCATTAATTTCTGCTTTTATCAGTATTACTTATTCTATTTTGTTTGGAGTTTTTTATTGTTCTTGTTTCTAATTTCTTGCGGTAGATGCCTACCTCATTCATTTTCAGCCTTTATTTTCCATTTTTCATTAGGGGTTGTTCCTCTTCAACTCTTGGGTTTTTTAGGAGAGTGTTCCTTCATTACCGACATAGAGTTTGGATTTGGGTTTTTTTTTTAAATCCAATTTGATATTCTTTGTCTTTTAATTGGAACACTAAAGCTATTTACATTTAACATAATGACTAATAGATTTATGTCTGCCATTTTATTTTATGGGGGTTTGTTTTTTTGTCTAGCTTGTTCTATGGTTCTTTTTCTCTATTTTCTTGCCTTTTTAAATTTGTATTTACTTTTGTTTTTTAATTCCATTTATGCCATTCTAGACACCCTTCTGTATTCTGGAACTTTGCAAACTATATTTCTCCTTCACCATCTAGCTTCATTTAGGTTCCACAAATAGGGGGCACTAGAAGGAGACTGGAAAGCTGGAGAACGGGAGAAGAGACTTTTGACTATTGCCATTTGCTTCCTGATCACCAGCATCACCTCAGCAGTGGCTTTTCTCCCAGTAGTTGTGGTTGGTTCCCAGGCTCTACCTTTTTTCTGGCTCTCTGCAGGGTATCTGTTCTAGGTTTCCAGGTTCTAATAATCCTACTTTCTTCCCTTTAATAGTTGTGTCCCTTGCCGACATTTTGACTTCTCACAAAACCTGTTTAACCAATTCCTTATGTTAAATTCTTTCTTAATATAAATAATATGGTTTTTCTTTTCCTGAACTATACACATTTTTTTCTTTACTACTCTAGTGGCTTTTATCTTTTGATGATTACCCTGTATTACAACATGCATATTCAGATTAAGTCAGACTAAAGTTAATCATTATCTTTACATTTTGGAAGATTATAATTTCCAAAGATAGCCACAGCGATATTTGTAGTCTCACATGCTTTTCTAGAAGCTTGCCACCCTGCAACCACCATCAAGCAACAGAATGTTTCCACTTACTTTGAAACAAGAATTTATGACTACCTCAACTAATACAACAGAATGCAGCATATGTAATTGTACAACTTCAAGGTTAGATCTTAAAAGATTATATGGCATCTGCATGGCTGGCTCTCAATCTCTTTTGCTTGCTCTTTCCCTCCTGGAAAGCTCACCCTTGTAATCCAGATACCATGTTGTGAGGAGGCCTAAACTAGCCCCCAGGAGAGAAACTGAGACCCCTAACCTACAGTCAGCATCAGGTGTCAGACATATGAGTAAGCAAGTTTTCAAGTGATTCCAGGCCCCAGACTTCATGGAGCAGAGACAAGCCATCCCTGCTGTGCCCTGCCAAATTCCAGCCCCACAGAATCTGTGATCATGGATTGTTCATGCAACTTAGTTTGGGGATTATTTGTTACCCAGATGTAATAACTAGAACAACTATCTAACTAGCAGCTTGCATACTATGGTCATATATTTTACTTTTGCATTTTAATTCCATTGTCAAGTACTTCAGCGTCTTTTAATTCTATAGACTTTATTATTTTCTTATATAGTCAATGTTTATATTTACACACACACATATATATCACTTTCTTTACTCT